TCTTCATGACTGAGCCAACATCTGAGTTTTCTTAGGAGTTGGAAATGCCTGTGCTGTCTTTTCCTCCTTCTCTGCCTCATTTCCCTTCTCCTAAATTTTCTTCATTTGAATGACGTTCACCAATAAAACATTAGCATGAAAGTTTGCCTCAGGCCATGTTTTCTAGGTAGCTTAGGCTAATGCACCCTGAGAGAAAAGTAATTTACTGAAAAGAATTTAAGAGGTTTTTGTGAAAGGAACATGATTTGCAGATGGTCAAGAAATTACAAATGCCTATGACATCATGTAACAGCTATTTACATCCTATAGAAGTACTGTTTGAAAAACACTTCACTTAACTTTGGATCAATGTATTTCAAATCTAAAGTCTTATGATTCCTCACTTTTTAAGTAGATCTATTACATTCAGAGACACTGTAAATCCACTCATTCGACCTATGAAAATTCCAAGAGGTCATGATTCTGACTTTGAAAAGGAAGATATTAAGTGGCAATAAAATGAACAGCTTTTTGCTGAAGATGTGTGCAGCAAGAATCATCCACAATGACTTCCATTTATTATGACCTCATATCATGAGAGCACTGAGCCAGTAACAGCTCAATGTCAGGAAGATGAGCTGACCCAGAAGCAAAGCACCAACACTGGCATCCAAATTGTTTTGTACTGAAACATCATCTCAGCCTGCACCTGGCACATTGACTCTACTTGCTGACACTGAAACTGGAAACTGCCACTTGGCATTATCTATCAAAGTCTAGAAGGATAAAGGTTCAACATGCAATGCAATACAATCCCAGGGTCAGCCTGTAGTTATGAAGACAATTTTCAGAATTTTCATTGGTGCCGAAATGACAGTCCCTATATTCATGCAATAACCACACTCTGAGAACTTTATAGTAAATGCTAAAATAATTTCTCTGTATTAACATCAATTTAGTGAACTTAAAATCTGGGAGTAACATCTAACTACTAATTATACTTCAACTGGTATAAAAAGAAAGTCATAATTATAAATACGTCATAAACACAATAATACCCCGAATGTAGGGGCACCTGGGTGGCTCAGTTGGTTAACCCCCTTACTCTTGATTTTGGCTCAGGTCATGATCTCAGGATCCTCGAATTGAGCCAATCAGGCCCTTGGCTCAGTGGGGAGTCTGCTTGAGATTCTCTCCACCTCCCTCTGCCCCTCTCCCACACTTGCATGCGCGCTGTCTCTCAAATAAACAAATATTAAAAAAAAATACCCTAAATGTGTTGTTATATTTTGTCACTAAATAATCAAAATAATTGGTACAGTCACATAGGAAAATGTAATGTTTGTTTGGTGCTTCTTCTGCATGAGACCCTATTCTGAGTGCTTTATGTATTAAATTTCCTTTATTCTGCTGTGGCAGCCAGCGTTCAAGATGGTCGTCAATGATGCCCACATCCCTGGTATTCATACCTTTGTTCAGTGCCCTCCCACGTTGTACTGGTTTTATTTGGCCAGTAGCAGGCAGAGTAAATGATGGCATGCCATTTACGTGGCTAGATTATCCAAAGGCAAAGCTTCCATTCTGGGTGCTCTCTCTTTCTCTCTCTTATCACTCACTATGAGGTAAGTAAGCTTCAGTGTTGTGAGTGTCCCTATGGAAAGGCTATATGGAAAAGAACTAAGATCTCAGTCAACAGCCAGAGAGGCAGAGACTTGCCAACAATCATGTGAGTTCTACTGGAAGTGGTCCTCCCTCCCTGCTTGAGCCATGAGATGATTGTAACCCTGACTGTAACTTTTGGAGTGACCCTGAGCTAGGGAACCCAGCTAAGCTACTCCTGAATTCCTAACCCTTAGCAGCTGTGCAAGATCATATGTTTTTGTATTAAAGTTGCCAGATTTTAGAGTAATTTGTTATGCAATAATAGATCCACAACAATTCTGAAAGGTAGGTGCTATTATATCTTCACATCACTTGTTGAAAGGAGTTTTCTTTTTCCATTAAACTTGCTTAGCACCTTCATTACTTATCCACTGATAATATATGTATGTGTCTGTTTCTAGAGTCTCTATTCTCTTGCATTCATTTATCATTGCCAGTACCTTGCAGTCTTGATTACTATAAGTTTTAGTAAGTCTTAAATGTGTGGTAGAGCAAGTTCTCCAGCTCTGTTATTTTTTAAAGCTGTTTTGGCTATTCTAGGTTCTTAGCTTTTCCATAAAATCTTATAATTAGCCTATAAATTTGTATACACAAGCCTGATGGAATTTTTAGTGGAATTGCATTGAATCAATACATCAGTTTGGAAAGAATTAAGATCTTAATAATATTGAGACTTCTAATCCATGAGCTCCAAGTATCTCTCCATTTACTTAAGTCTTTTAAATTTCTCTCAGCATTGCTTTGTTGTTTCCCGTTCTTCTATTAGGTTTATTCTTTGTAATTTTTGTTTTTAGAACATATTCCTCACTAAGATATTCAGTGTTCATTACTGCTCTTACATTCTATGTCTTCCACTGCCTCCCTATATATCATATTGTTCACCATTATTTAAAAGTAACATTTTTTAAAAGATTTATTTATTTAAGAGGGAGAGAAAGAGTGTCAGTGTGCAAGCAAGCAGGGGAGGGGCAGAGGGAGAGGGAGACAAACTGAGCCTGGAGATCATGGCCCAAGCCAAAATCCAGAGTCATACGGTTAACAGACTGAGCCATCCAGGAGCACCTTAAAAGTAACAGTTTTAAGAGAAATCTATAATGTTCATAGTCACCAAGTATCACTAATGAAATATATAGCTCCTCATACTTTAATAAATAGAACTAGAGAGCCATAAAACTAAACCACACCACATAATCTCTTAAAAACCGATGTCTTAATTTTCTCTAACATTTTTTTAGGCTGTTTCTAAGAATACTTTTAATTATAATACATTTAAAAATATAATATATTCCAAAATTCTGTTTCTTTAAAAATATTGTGATGTGTTATTTAAGAATCATTTACTTACTCATCATGCATAAATTTAAAAATTGGAATGCTTTGCAGATCCGGATATTCCTGTTGGTCATTAATTAGGAGTTGTATAACTCATTTTTGTGGAAAGATATTTTAAAATACATTCTTCTACTAGATGAATGCTAAAGGACACAAAAAGAATGACAGTCAAGACTAAAATTAGGAGATGGCAAAATGGCCAGTAGTTACAAACCAATAACCATCACACTGATAGGCGGTAGCTAATTCAGAGGAGTGCGCAGCGATGCCACAGTCAGGATTGCTGAACCAGCAAGAGCATACAAGGAAATGAAACAGCTTCAAATATAAAGGTTCAATGATCAAAATCAATGTTTCTCTTTGATATGTGAAAGTCCTAATAACTACCTTCTGGAGGACATGTGAAAAGAGTTTACTTTGTGACCCTCTCTCCTAAATGCTTTTTTCTTTATGCTTATACTCAAAGTCTCCCAGGTTCTTCTTTCAAAATCCGTATGAACAGTCAACCCATAATACAAATAGGTCTTATGGATCCCAGGCATTTGTGTATTTTAACAAAGGTCCCCAAATTCCAGACACTAGCAAAAGGATATTACATTTGTTACTCCATTTTGTTTAACCCACACAGAACCCTGTATTAGGGACCTCACGTTCCAAAAGAGGGAAAATGAGAGTCAGAAAAGTAAATAAGGAAACCATCTAGCTAGTGTGCTTAAAACCACCATGCTTGACTGTGTTCTTTAGTCACTAGTGGTTCATGTAAAATCAACTAATGATCTCCATCACTGTCATTTCACAATCGGAAAAACAGAGTGCCATTGGGAGGCCTTGCAACATGAATGACAGAATTTCCACAGGAAGCAGACTATCAGGCCTGAATGGCAGAAGTCTCACAGGAAGTGGGCCACTATACCTATTCCATCATGTTCATGCTATGCTCATATTGCTTGCTCTTCCAACCCCGCCCTCTTGGCACCATGGGTGTTTAACTCCAGTATACCTAAGCGCAGAAGGGCAGGTACCCTCTCTTACCCCTCCCTGCCTTTGAGATTCTGTGGCAACTCTGTGAGAGTCTAGTTTGCTTTAGAATGGGGGAACCTATAATTTACTTTGGATTGTAAAACCTCTGCTCTGGATATTTGCTCCAGGAACAGATGCAAAAATGTCACAGTTGTACCATCAGGTTTTAAGGAGAGAATCTCAAATACATCACCAGCAGTATGCAAAAAGTGTGTATTGTTAGCAAAGAGATGGCTTTAATTGGTTTTACTCTGATTTAAAAAGAAGTCCATTTCTGTCCATCTTACCTCCTCAGTTTAACTTTTAATTTCACACTTTATTGCTTTTATTTTTGCTGTTCTTATCACTTTGACCGTTCTGTTATCTTTGTTATGCTTGGTTAGCAGCTATTTACTTTGGCAAGGCAATCTTTGCTTCAAGCAGCTATCCTTTCTGATTTAGTCAACATAGTCTACTTCACTTAATATTCCAATAAAGAGTAATATGGGGAACTAGAAAGAAAAGAACCCGTACATCAAAAATTAGCCCTTATAATTAACAACTATGATTTTGAACAGTTTAGGCCTCCTCAAACACTTTTAATGACAAAGTGTTTTCTTCATTAGATAACAGAATATATCAATGTATGACAGAATATTAGTCATTGATTAAGCAATAATCAATAAATACCTAAACTTAAAAAAGAAAAACTGTGTAGCCGATTACTTCTTCAATTTGTTGAAGTTTTGCTTTTATTAAATTTCCATGTGTTGTATTCCCCTGACCACATCATAAATTTTTTAGCAGGGGTTTCCAAATCACAAATATTACAATATAGAAATTTTAATTTTGTCTCAGCAATTTTTGTATAATGTGACATTCCCAGAGGTTGTCACCATAGAAATACATTATTCAATATTATGTGTTTTCAACTGAACTTCAAAGACAATAATTTCACTCTTCAGACAAAGAGAGACTTGCTCCCTCAAACAATATATTTTTCTTTTTCTTCTGGTGCATACACTCAGAGTTGTGAGGCCATATTTCCAAGTATCCTGAGAACCTGCCCCTGGGTTACAAATTAAGCCTGGCTTTGGTCATTTTGGAGATTCTCTGCTGAGAATAACAACTCACATTCCTCGAGTTTGCCCAGCAGTTCAAGGAAAAAGTAAGTTAAATGGGAAACATAAAAATAACTTGTCTTCTTCTCTGGTGTTTCTAAGAGCATTTAAAAGTTCTAGAAGTTGAAGAGGGATAAAATATTACTATATAAAAGTAACTTGAAATTCTGGAAATTGTTTCTATTTATGGAGAATAATGACAAAAAAAACAAACAAACTCCGTGCTCACTGTGTGCCATAGTATGTGCTGGGTGACCACATAAAGTGCTGAGGAATCAATTAGGAGAGAAAACAGTCTCTAGACTCAATGACATCACATCCTTGCAAATCCCTAAAGTAGTCTCACCAGAAGAACTCAGATATAAAAATTCACAGAGCAACCAAATAGTTTGTCAACTTACTTACATAGTTTTAAAGTTCACTTTTTCCCAAAGTAAAATGTGTTGTTGGCTGTTACCAAAATACCTGCTAAAACTGAAAATCAAGAGTTTTCCCATTTTAATTTAAGGATAATTCCCACACATAGAAGTAATTTTCTAAATTACACTTTTATGTGTTTGGAAAGGAAGAAAAATGTCCTAAATTAGGAATACCCAACAAAGGAGCAGAAAAATGGAAGTAATAATCATTCGGTATTAATGTAAGAGCTACTCTTGACTCTTTCATTCTTACAAATATTTCATTGGTTGGTCTTATTACTCTCTTAACAGTCATTATTCTTACTGATATGATACTGCATTTGTTTTTACTACAATTCAAAACCAGGAGATAATTCACCTAATCTGGGAATTTGCCTCAAGCAGCTACAGACCTCTTACTGATAAAGGAGTTCTTACTCTCAGATTAAGTATTGTGGATATTGTATGCAAAAAAAAATATTGCGATATTGTGTGTGAATAAATACTGCTGAAACCTTGCAGCTTCTGACTGTTGTCCCTGCTAACATTCAGAAATTTCAGCTCTTACTTTGGTATAACAATTACTCATAAAATACACCTTGTCTTGTTTTTTAATCCTATTTTTTGAAATATCGTTAGCTTGCTAGCTAGCAAGATATAAATATACCAGGTTTCTTTCAGACAATTAAACATTAAAGAATTAAATTGGTTGTCTGCCTGTGTAAATAGCCTTTGCTTTATTTAACTTCTTTTGTAACCCTGGAGTTGTCTATACTATTAAAGAATTAAACCCTGAATCATATGCAGGGACCATTTGGCCAGAATGTACTGACTAGATAAGAAAGAAATCTCTAACACAATTTTATGGTTTAGTCTTCTCACCTTCTACCTGTGATTTCCAGAAAACAACTTAATCTCCTTTTTTATAATGTTCCATTCAGGCTATATTTATCCTCTCAGAGGAGTTACAAGATTTTCTTCATTTTTCTTTTCAGACCATATATGTACTGAGAATGCTTAACTCTGACACAATATCCATAGAAGGAAGAGTTCTTCAAGGATCTGTGACAAACAGAGGTATAGAGTTCATCCACAAATCTAGGTGCTGTCCTATATGCAGGACACCAGAGCAGGTTGGGATACCAGGAACATAATATAGACAAAAAGATGTGTCTTGATGTCGTACATACACATCTCACAAATCCTCATCTAAGAAATTACTAAAAACAAAATATTGTTTTCAAATTGCAAACACTGATTTTTTGTTGTAATATTTTTAGAGAAATATTAATACAATATTGATAATAATATAGATATTGATATTAATACATTTGCTGGTAGAGAAATACATAGTGTTTCTTTAGGGAATTCATATTTCCATATCAGTTATGATCATGTCATGCTCAAAAATATACTAACATGGATAACCTGCAAATTGGATCCATTAATTTATTACACAGATCAAAATTAATTATATGCCCCTTAGCTATATGACTCATATACTCATATATTATAGAGAAAAGGCACAAATAAGGTGAACAAATATAAATACAATAAATTACAGCTTATTTTAGACAAATTTTAAAATAAAATCTTTTTAATGCTCTGTGATTTTGCACTTGATTTCCATCCTGTCTATTGTGTCTCATACCCCAATAACTTCTAAAATGCCATTTACCAGAGAGTAAACTCTAGAGTCCCAGGAAATGTTTAAGGCTACACATGAAATAGATTTTATTCTTCCCCTTAAGAGCCATTGTTAAGAGGTTACCACTTGCTTGTTAGATATATTCCATCAGGAATATTGGCCATTGGTGTAACTACCTAATGCAGTTTGCTTAGCAGTCACTTCTGAGCATTCTCAGGTCATTAAAAGCCAGTAGAACACGGTGTAGTGGAGCAATCTCGTTGTTGAACATGAACAAAAAAATAAATTTGCTCTGCTTCACAGACTCTGCAGATAATTATTGCATAAGTTCATATTGTGGAAGGTAAAAAAAAAAAAAAGGGTGAAAAGTGCTATCTTTCCAGAAGTCAATACTGTATGCTACCAAATAAAATACCTTTTATTAAAAGAAATTCTGTCTACATTTTATATATAACATACTGTAAGATAACTCATGAGTGGTCATAGAATGCCACGCGGCTGAATGCTCCTTGCAGATCTGCTGGAGCATGCCTCCTTTAATCAAGAGCATTTGGATCTGCCTTGAGAAGCCTTGCTGTGATTTAAAAGAATTTGCCCACAGCAATTACCAACCTCACACATCACACAGTTTCGTTAAAGATCCTTCCACCGCTCATTAACTTCTCTATGATTGTTCAGAGGAATTTTAATTTTGATCCCAAATGTTTCCAATGGATTATGCAATTTGGCAGAGGGCTATATAGTTTGGGGATGGTGTACTATATTAACAATGTGGGGACTTAAAGGAACTTAGGTTTTCCTAAACATGGCAATGTTTAGGAATTATGTAATGAGCTATGTGGCATCATAGAAGACAGCCTTCACTTCAGTATGAGATGGCTTTTCCTTTCTGGTTGGAAATTATTCTAGAGTCTTATTTTTATACATTTTTTTACTGTAGGGTAAAGCCATGGCACTTTTCATTCATCCAAGACACATTATACTTTTTTTATTATTAACTTTTTTTTAAGCAATAATATTTTAACAGAAATAGTTGTCATATGAGTTTCACTTTGTACTACCTTTACCACCAAGGTAATTTATGTTTACAGAGTGTCTTTTATAATCATTATTATTCACCCACATTGAAAGCTGTTATAAAGAATTACTATGTGATTGTCAAATATCCAATCAGTCCTGGGTTTGAAAATATGGCAAAGCTGCCCACTAGATGCTAAAGTCCAGGGTTTAGACTCAATCAGATAGTCCTTCCCATGAGAAAGATCCTTCTACCTTACTAGGTTCCAACATGGATCCTAGAGGAGGACAAAACACGATGATTGACATTCCACTAAGACCATCCAAAGTGAGAATGAAGTAACACCTGAAAAGGAAATTAGGGTCACCAAGGAAGGGGAAATGACTGCTGAACAGCCAAAATGGCAAAAAAAAAATGGATATTTCATAATTAGAGTAAATCAATGCTTCTGTTTGACATGGTTATACTTTTAGGTTCTCCATAAATATGAAGCGCCATTATACATTAGTATTTTAATAATATAGGCCCTAGAGTCGGACAGATGTGCCTCACATCCTAGCTCTACCATTTCAAGTGGTAAAACTTAGGCACATTTCATAATTTATTTGTGCCTTATTGCACTCTGTCATTAATTTCATAGAAGTCATCATGAAGATTAAAAAACTACATAATTCCAAATGTAGTCAGCTAATTAGTTAGGTAGTAATTACTATTACTGGTATTATCTATCATTGTTATAGGTTACACTTATAGGGTAGTTGGCACCAAGCAAGCACATAGTAAGTGCTAGCTAAATTTAATGACAATAAAAATAACCATTATTTGTTTAATTAACAAAATATATACAAATGGATATTTTTGCAAATGAGAAATAACTGGACTAGGAACTTCCTTTAGTTAAATAACAATTTAAGTATTATAAATCACACATGCAAAAATTGTACATTCAGGGTGAATGAACTCACTTTGCCTTTTTAGAATAACAATAATAATACTGCTAATATTATTATTAAAACTATGTTTACATGAACACTTATTTTGATCCAGACACAATCTGTAATGCCTTCTAATCCTGAAAGATAATGGTAATTGGGAAAAATAATAATATCAAAACTTTCCAAGGAAGTGGGCAGAAGAGGATCCAGATTTTCTGGGGCCTGAAGATTTTAATATGAGAAGTTAAGAGATAATATAAAATTATGAATATATAATTAGCTACAGGATCTTGGAAGGATTCTTTATTAGCCATTTGGTTAGTCTGCCTCTGGAAGGAGGTACTATCATCATCATAATTTTACAGATAAGAAACATGAGCCACAGAGTTTTGAGATAGTGTGACTAAAGTCACACAGCTGGTGAATGTTAGAGATAGACATCAAAGCTGGTATTGTGCTTTCATTTTACAAATGAGAAATCTCAATCTCAATGAGTTTATGTAACTTGCCAGAGGTCCCAGAATTACTGAGTGGCAGAGGGAAGATTAAAACCCAGATCTGTCAAATTCTAAAGTTCATACACTCCACACTAAGCTTTTGATGCCAACTCATGAAGAATTCTAGCACAGGATATTGAAATTTTTTTCAGATTTTCATTGCTTTTGATCAAAGAATCAAAAGAATAAGAGTTAGCCTAGACCCTGAAGGAAATAAGGCTAATTTCAAAGATGAATGGCTATCTTCTAAGGGCACATAAGCAGTTTACTTTGATATGTTTTACATTAGGTATCAGTATATTTCTGATTTGCAACAGTTTCACAGATACCAGACATCTATTGTGTCATAGAGTATTTGAAATTTCTAAACCAAAAAATTCCATACTTTTATCCTAAAGCTTTCCAACTTTTAAATTAAAAATCCACCATAATATAAATATTCTATTTTTGGAGATATAGACAAGCTTTGTTCCAACTTTAGAATCCAAGAAATTGCTTCATTACTATAAGTCTCCATACAACCACCTTTCCTGCGGCATAGTATTGCTTATATAAATTAAGTAAATTGATGATTCTCCCCTTAAGAACATAAATGAAAAACTGAATTCATGCCCGATGTATCTTGATATAATGTTGAGACCAGAATAAAGTTGGTGGGAAATATGAATATTTCCACTAAACTTATTTCTCAGTGTGTACAGACATTTAAAATTTTATGTAACTTGACAGGCTAGAAGAAGGCATGGTAGTAGTCTGGTGTTCCTTTATATTCTTATACCATTAGGGTATACATCAGATAAGCAGGAGATTTTAGAATTTATCAATTATCTAACAATTAGATTGATACAAAACAGTAGCCATAACACTTGAGATTCTTTAACAGGTCTTAGTAACCCTTTAAATAATTCTTTTTCTCTCGCATCACTCAATACAAATATACACTATACTTATAGGTATAATGTTAATTAGTAACATCCTTGAACTGTTAGTTCCCAAGAGGTCACTTTTATGATAAAAGAAGCGTAGCAATGCACTCATGCCCATGGAATTCACTGGTTTTACCTTATGCCATGCTGGAGTTGCAGTGGAATATTAGGACAATATCATAATCTTAAATAATATTACAGACCAGTGTTTCTAATATTTCAGTCAGGTATTGGTCTGTGATTTTCAAAAATATTCACAGAAAAATAAGAAAACTAATGACACTATAGAAAGTTTTTCCTTATTTCTTTCAAATAATCACCTTTTATTCTGATATTATGTTTTTTCTTCTTTTTAGATGTTAAAATATTTTTTCTTTCGTGTGGTTAAGGTAAATGGAAGTGTTATTTTTCAGTTGCCTGAGAAAAATTAAAAATTAGTATTCTCTGTAAAGCACCTATTTTCTGAATAATATGGTACTTGACTATACAAATCTAAAAATGCAAGAACCAGTATTACACAGAAATTAGTATGACATATATTTTTTGTTAAAGGAATATATATATATCTTAAAACCCTTCTCAAATAAAGTAACTAATGCCAGATATCTTCTGTTTTCTCTTTTTTTATCTTCCTATGGATTGACACCTACGTGGATATGGATTTGCCTTCTTGAACTGCAGTGCTTCTGCAAGCACTACCCATTGGTAGATTTATAGAATCCTTTGTTATAATTATATTATGCTACACAAAATCTTCACAGGCTAGGGGCATATTTTTTGACAAATGAGGTGTAGCAATGAGCTCATGCCCATAAAATTTACTGGGCTTGCCATATGTCACATATCCTAGGAGGAACATGCTTGTTAGGGAATGGTAAGCTGAAGACTCAATTAAAATGATTCCTGAGTGATTAAACCCTGTGCTGCCAGGATCTATCCTACAGATTGCTAAATATGCCATAAACAAGTGGCCAACATATTGTGCCAAATTCTCCATTGGCAGTATGCACAGATCTGTGATTCCAAGGCAATGACCTTCTCTTTGATAACTACTAAAATTTATATATCTTCCATCAACAGGACCCCTGGTTCCATAGATTTAAAGGTACCATTTCCCAAAGAAAGAATATTTCCCTGGACTTGGTCATATTTCTGAAGAACTAGGAACTGAGACTATCCCTGGCCATTTTGATCTCCTATGCCACTGAACCAATAAGAAGAGAAAAGGTCACTATACTGTGCAGGGTGCTTGATGCTGATGACGAGGGGAAAACTGGGTTACTCCTACTCAGTGAGGTCAATGAGAACTCTGTTTATGAGACGCCCTTAGCTTGGGTGTGTTTTAGTGTTTCCCTGCCCAGTAGTGTTCCTTCTTAGAAAACTCTAAGAAACCAGTAGATACAAGATCAGTTAGGACTCAGTTTCAGCAGAAATGAAGGTTTGGCTTATCCACTGGTAAAGAGTCTCATTGGTTGAGGCAAGGGGTAGGAGAAACATTGAATAGTGGCAGAAAGCATCTATAATTGTCAACTTTGGCCTCATTGAAGATGACAGAGAAAAGGACTAGATAGTAGCTATATTTTTATATTACTTAATAAGTAATTTTCTACAACATCCTTTTTTTTCTCTACCATCTTATATGGAGAACACAAGAGTATTTAAAGTTTTAGATCTTAGGTAGGAATAAGAACTCATTGATGGCACTCTCTTATGATAAGGTAGCTGATCAAACTTCATGCTTTCTAATGTAGAGACAAACTTTAGAAAGAAAACAAGAGTAAACACTGAAAAGCAAAAAGAGAAGACTGTCCTAGGTATCTTTGCTCCTTCGGATTCAATTCATCTCCTTTCTCCATTCTGCCCTATTTCTTCAGGAGGCTGATGCCTATGGACTACATCAATGAGATCACCATTCACCCTGGTTTGGGGTTAAATTCAGTCTTAAGGGAGTCCTGGCAGGAAGTGAGAAAGAGACAGAAACAGAGAGACAGAGACAGAAATACAGAGAAAGACAGGGAGAGAGAGGAGAGGAGAGAAATATCAAAGTATGTATCCCCATGGCTCTCTCCATGTGAACTTCCCTTGAATGGTCAATGTCCTTCACATAAAAGTCACATAATGGTCAATGTCCTCCACATAAAAAGTCACAAGGTGACTCCTCTCAAGGTGGTCTGTTCTATCATGACTTTTTTTTCTTCTGGATTCTAGTTTCCTCCCTCCCTTTGCCACTTTAGGCATAGGGGTACTGATAGTAAGCCGCTGTTGGTCAAGATCCCACATTATTCTTGTGTTTCCCCGCCAAATTTGTAATTAGTACTTTTGGGAAAAAACTCTTTTTGAATTATCTAAATGTATGTGAGCCATCTGTTTCCTGTACAAACTCTGGTCATCTATTTTCATTTCACCCTAAGAGTAGAACATGCTGAAGACAGAGGAGATTCGGGTCCCCAAAAAATCAGCAAGCAGAATGTATATGAAGGAACAGGGAAACCAGGGCAGAGAGACAAATTCACAAAGTGCAGTACTTCACCAGCAGAAACACAACTTGCTGTGTGCGTGTGTGTGTGTGTGTGTGTGTGTGTGTATGTTGTATAACATATGATTTGTAGCAGACACTTTATACAATATATTGGAACAATAGATAAACAAACATTCTTTTAAAAATCAATAGTTATCACATAAACTTATGGTAGGAACTTTGTGCTGAAAATGATTCATGTAAAAGAGACATTGCAACTCAAATCAGCATATGTGAAGAATAACACACGACAAAAAGGAATCAGCAACACTTGATTAATATCATAAGCAAAGGACATCCCATCAAGACAGTACAAGACTACTCATGTTTATATCTTTCTAAGGGGATCTCAGTCTCTTAATGTGTACAAAACTGTAAATGAATAAATATTACATTCTTTTGTATGATATGAATTTTCAACTAAATATTACTGACTGTAATGTGATTGACACCTGATTTACAGTATAAATTACACTGTGATTTACAGTGACCACAATACACTGCATTTTGATTTACAAACCTTCTTAAGTTTGTATTCATAAGGTTCTAAATTAAAAAAAAAAAACAACTTAGAAAAAACCCAGATATTGTGACAGGTAGAGTAAGTAGATGCAAATAGTGTAAACAGTGTACAGGTTAATAGGTTTATCATCTGAACTGTGTGTTCCTGACCATATTGTGTTTTACTCTTAAGATATTGTGTTCTAGAATTAAGTTGGAGAGGGAAATGATAGCACCGTTTTTATATTTTCTTAAGAATTTTAACAAATATCTAGGTATGCTGGAAGTTACTCATAAATGAAAAATATTATTTATGGAAAAAACAAACAAGCTACCTTTACTCCATTAAATGATAAGAGTTTGCCTCTAATATTGAAAACTTACTTTCTCTAAGAGTTCCTGATCATATTTATTTCCTATTGCACTTCAATTTTTATCTCTCTGTATATTTGAAACAAGATTAAACAAGTTATATATTAATTTTACTTATTAGTGTGATGTTTTGTAGTTTTTAGACAAAGCATATTTACTTTCCCTTTAATATACCCCCATGAAATTAGTGCTTGTGAATTTCTTATCTTGAACTGAATGTTTTCTATCATATCTCTGAAATAGTTACAGACTTACTTCTCTTAAAGCAAGAAGTTTTGACTCAGTTATATTATCTGACAGATTTATTTTAAAAAAATTAAACAAGTTCTCTAAAAACGGTTAAGCTGTACAATAGCTTCATCTATTATTCTATGTGCTGGGTAGACCTCATAATTCATAACAATAATTATGGCGTTAAAAGTGCAAAGTATGGTGTGAACTGAAGTTATTAGTGAAACTGGTGATAGAAAAAATATATATGAATATGGAAATAGATATGGATATGATGGAGATAGAGATACAGAAAGAGAATTTTAATTTCAGTCACTACTTGATGTAAAATAAAAGTCAACTTTATGCTATGTTTATATTCTAAACTTCTAAAAATAAATAATGCTGACTTCTTCAAAAGTCAAACTAAAATAGACTATCAATTTTATCAACAAGTTAAGAACAAATATCTCAATTTTTAGTCAACAATTTTTTTAAAGATTTATTTATTTATTTTAGAGAGAAAGAGAGAGAGAGGTGGGGTGGAGGAAGGGCACAGGGAGGAGAGAGAAACACTAAGCGTACTCTATGCTGAGGGCAGAGCCCCACCCAGGGCTTGATCCCAAGACCCTGAGATCACAACCTGAGGGAAAACCAAGAGTCCGAGGCTTAACCAGCTGTGCCACCCGGATGCCCCTTAGTCAATAATTTTTACAGATGCATTGATAAATTATTGTTATTAAGTAAAATACACAATTCAAATTTCCAAGTCAAAATTATATTATAGTTTGACACTTGAATTAAAATTACTTTTAGGGGCGCCTGGGTGGCTCAGTCATTAAGCATCTGCATTCGGCTCAGGTCATGATCCCAGGGTCCTGGGATGGAGCCCCGCATCGGGCTCCCTGCTCAGCGGGAAAGCCTGCTTCTCCCTCTCCACTCCCCCTACTTGTGTTCCCTCTCTCGCTGTGTCTTTCTCTGTCAAATAAATAAATACAATCTTTAAAAAAATAAAAATAAAAAATAAAATTATTTTGAGAGAATACTAGAGGGAGAAACAACTGAGTTAGAGGCCCCAAACTTCAGAGGGCTCTCTCAGGAAGAGTCTGAGAGGGAGGTAAGGCAGTTATCTTGGGGGGGTTTGACTACTAGAAAGCAGTGAGGTGGCCAATACCTAAAATTATTTTCTAAAATCTCATCATCAATATTTTTAAATCTAAGTAATGTATACATAACTGCTGTGATTTATTGCAGCATTTTAAGAACCTGGGACGTTACAGATGTTGCCTAGTTTAGATAGTAGGAGGTTATACTATCAGCTTCATATTAGTTAATCACCTACATATGAAGAACAGAATTGTTTGTAATTTTTGTTGTCTTATAACTTCTCCCCTCTCTTAGAAAACTGGTGGTTTGCATTGAAGTTTTCTCCCATTGAAAATAATTCTTTGTGACAATTACTATAATTAGAACCTATGTTTAAATTGCAAAGCATTAATTAAATGTGTAGCCTTGACAACTGACTTAACTTGTCCATGTCTGATTTCTGTATCAGCTTTTTCAGCATACAGTCCAATCTGTTTAATGTCCTATCTAGGCAGGAAACTAAAAAGTTACATTTCCCAGATTCCTTGCAACTATGGCTCTGGTTGTGATTTAGATTTTTCTAAACAGATGCATTCATTTGAGACTCAGTCTCAAGAAGAAAATCACTAGAGAAGAGAGGTTAAGCCTAAGGTTTCTCTTTTCCTTAAATGGATCAAGGAGAAGTCAACCATTAGACAGCAGTTTTCGGATTCCTCATCTCTAGCCAAGGCAGTGGGTTCCTAGAGTCATTAATTCTGCTGGTTGTTACCTTGCTCCAACACTGACAAGAGTAGTGTGATTCTAGAATCAGTGACCAGATTCCTCAGATTGTGTTTGTCATAGATGGAACCTTCAGTGGGCTGGTTCTGTGGTGTTCTGCTGGAAGTGATTCTTAGGAGTCCAGCTTATTGACTGATCCTCCAGCCTTTTCCATGATTGTGTAAGTACCATTCCCTGTATTAAATCTCTCGTTGCTTAAATTAGATAGGAGGATCACCATTAACCTCAATTGAACCCA